GCTGTTTATCAGAGATAAGCCATCTGCAGGTTTGTCTTGCATATCCTTAGGCCTGTTAATGGGTTACAAAGGATGTCCCCAAGAAGGGAGGGGGGCATGATAAGGCATGTCTGACCTCCTTTCTCCTGGCAGGCAATTTAGTTTTAGGATATTCCTTTGGCCACAAGGGGGTCCATTCAATCAGCTGGTGGAGGGGTGAGCCTTAAAATTTTATTTTAGTTCACAATTCCCCCCTTTTGGCCAAGAGCTGTCAGAGACAGCATCTATGGCCAAACTTTTATTTTGTCCCATCCGTTGTCAGGGTGGTGTGGCTACCTGCCCTGGGTCCATTCAGTCCCTCAGTGGGACCCTTGTGGCCAAGAGGACTGAAGAGCCAAAAGGGGGTTTACAGCCAATTAAATATTTTAGGCCAAACAGGACCAGAGGTAGACAAGCTCTCATTAACACTTTAAAATCTTCTAGATGACATAAGAATAAAATCCAAAATGTTAAAGGCCAGGCTACAAAACTAATTTATCTATAAGTGTTGAACTACTATATTCTTGGGGTTAGTGGTAGTCTTATAGCAAATATAAGCATCATTAATATTTAAGCTAAGGGAATTTAGAGACTTTTATTGTATCATAATATTTTAGTCTTTTTAGTAATTTATACTAAGGTGGCTGATAAATTACTCATTATATCTCCTTTTGTATAAATCTATAACTGAGAAAAATTATACTCAGGAAGTTCTAAGTCTATAGGAAGTAGGAAAAAAATTTACAATTTGGATGAATCTTTGCAGCATGTGGTCTGAAAAGACAGCATTTCAGTTAGTATTCCTTTAGGCTTCTGTGTGCCCATCCTTGATCTGGAAGGTCTAAACTAATTCCATCCCTTCGGAATCAGCCCTTACAATCTCACACGCTCTCCTCTTCCACGATAGTCCCTGGGCCTAGAGGGAGGATATTTGAACAGGGCTTTGGCAGATTTCGAGGTTCTAGGTCCCAGAGATAAGGTAAACTTGCTGTTTACTTAAAATTTGTCAGGACTCTGGAAAACAAAACAAAATTAGTAATGTTTAAATAAAGAGTCTTTTTGTGAAAATTTAGTTAGGTCTCATGAGGTTGAGTTAGCTATATCCATGGTCATATCAGTTTTCTAATTAAAATTAAAGTCCAGGAAGTTTGTTTTGTTTTAGTCCAATGGTATATAATCTCCAAAGATATTAGAAACCAGTATTCAAGTGGATTTGTCAGTCCTTTTTATGACTTTACTTGAAGAAGCCAACTTTGGACTTAGCCAGAAAGAACTACTTTCTGAGATGAATTAAAGTAAAATAATAATTTTTTTAAAGATGATAAAACTTGGACTAGCCACGGTTAGAGACAATTGATAAACCAAATTGGTTACTTTAGTGGTGTACAGCAATTTACATAATAACCATAATTATTACACCAAGACATGTCAATGTTGTACAATACTGGAGCATATATTAATAACATACTTATACAAGCATAGCCCAAAGAAAGTTAAACGCCATTTCATATTTGACAGTGTTCCCTGTATGGCTTTGACATACTAAATAAATCTAATGTCTGTTTTAGACTTTTAGTGGCCCTAATACATAGAAATCTAGTTTAGGGTCGAAAGGTTGGATTTAGTTCTCCAGCATTTTCCCAGGCACATTATAGTTTTCTTTTATGAGGTTGATTTTCCATAAATATTTGATGAATTATTTTTTTAACCTGTTTGTGTAATAGAGACTGGCTTGGTCTTTTCTATTTTTTAATTGAGAAAAAGCACATAAAGGGCAGAAATATTAAATGTACAATTAATAACATTTTATGCATATTTAGTATCCAAATGAAGCTATAGAACATTTCAAAATCCCCAGATGCTTCCATCATGCACTTTCCCTGTCAATTACTGTTCTGCTATCCCAACCAAGGGAACTGTCCTTCTGACATCTGTCACAAGTATGTCTCCTCCTGAACTTGAATGTCATATAAGTTAAAGTAAACATTTTGTCGTTGTTTCTAGTTTCTTTCTTGTTTCTTGCCTGTTTTTGAGGCCTTCATTCTTTCCTGTGGATTCAGATCGTTGTCTGTTGTCATTTCCTATAATTCTGAAGAATTTCCTCTTAAATTTCTTGTAGAGAATGCCTGAAAGTACTCATTTCTTTTCATTTGTGTTTATCAAGAGAATGTTTTTACTTTGTGTTTATTTTTGAAGTGCAGTTTTGCTGGATATAGAATTCTGGGTTGACTTTTTTATTTTCCTTTCATCATTTAATTGTGTCATTGCACTGTCTTCTAGTCTCCATTGAACATAATGAACACTGAGTCAATGTCTTTATTATTGTTTTCCTGTGTAGAGTGAGCTTTTTTCTTGAAGATTTTCCATTTGTCATTGCATTTCAGCATTTTAACTATAATGTGTGTGCTTAAGATTTTTTGGTGTTTCACTGGAATGTTTTATTGAGTTTCTTTGAGCCATAGAGTAATGTATTTCATTACATTTGAGAAGTTTTTGTTATTATTTTTTCAAATATTTTTCTCAGCTCTCTTCTCTTTTTTCTTTCCTTTGTGACTTCCATTCACATTTGTTGGTATTCTTCACACTGGCCTCTAAACCTCTGGGGCTGTGTTCATTTGCTTTAATCTTTTTTCTTTAGAACAAATAATTTCTATTCATCTATTGTCAAGTTCACTGATTCTTCTGCCATAGTCGACTGTTTTTGTACCTATCAAGTGAATTCCTCAATTGGGTTCTTGTACTTTTCATTTCTAGAATTCTCATTTGGTCTTTTTTTTTAATATATAACTTCTTCTCTATTGAAAGTCCCTATTTGTTGAATAATTTTCTTCATATTTTCCTTTTTTTAGTCTTTGATCATAGATAACAGATTTTAAAATACTATTTGAATATCTATAAAATAACTGTTTTGAATTCAATTTCCCATTTGATGTTTCATTACTGATATCTCTTCTTTTTTATTATTCTTATTCTTAACTTATAGCTTGACTGTCTAAGGAGTGCCCCTCTATCTGCATAGCTTAGTGATAAACAATGGTTCAGGGGGTTTTGCTTAAACATCACGAGCTCGTGACACTTCTACCAATTCCCCTGCCTGTGGTTTGGAAGGTGCATGAAAACTACAGCAGTTCTTACTTCCCTCTGTACTTTGCACTGGTCCCTCTTGGGTCTCTGTCACTTCTAATATGTGTGCAGAGATTATCTCAGCAATTCTATGACTGCACAGTTTCCAGGAATGCACTATTAACTTTCAGCTGGTCAACCACTTGCCCCAGCCAGGACCATCACCTTGGACAAGCAAAGCTGTGGGATCCTTCTGTTCGTTTCCTGTGGTGTTCACCACATTTAGCTGGAAACACTGAAGGATCTGGCTCCACTCCCTACCCCAACTCATGTAGACCCAATTTGGCAGCAAGTTGCTAGTTTTTGCTGCCATCTTCATGCTGTTGCTATTGCAGTTTTTCAGTTCTTGCTGATTGTGCTTTGGTGGAAGGGAATAGTTACAGGCAAAAGGCCTTGGACTTTTCTCATTCTTACCCAAAGTTCCAGTACATATTCAAGAATTAAAAATTCTCAATTTTTTTATGCCTTTGGTTATTTCCAGAGCCCTGAAATCATTAGTTTTTATGTTTTTTTTCCTTTTATACTTCGGTTGTTTTTGTTTCTGCACAGAGAATTCAATAAACTTTTCAAGATATTGTAACCAGAAGTGCTTTCCAAACTGAATTTTACTGAACATAATGGCCACACTAAATGGGAATGGGGGTGTATACTAGCATAAGTAACTTTTAAGTAGAGAATATGGTGTCCATATCCTTAGGTTAAAGAGAAACAGAGCTCAAAACAAATACTGAACTCTAATCACTCCATTTCTTATTCTCAGAGGTATCCTCTAGCAATTTTCAAAATATCTTATGTCCACTCTAGGATTAAACAAATAAGGGAATATACTATAGATAATGAGAGGCAAGAATATCAGTTTAAGAGATGGAAATCCCAAATAAAGAAAAAGAGTAAATATAGAATGATACCTGAGGAATTGTTCATTAAGAAGAACTCATGGTCTATGTAGGGCATGTTAGCATTCACCTATAGTCCCAGAAACACAGGAGGATTGCTTGAGCCCAGGAGTTTGAGGCCAGCCTGGGATACATAGCAAGACTCTGTCTCTAAAAAATTAGCTAAAAATAAGAGCACATACTTTTTTCTCATGTTTAATTATTCTTTTTCATATATTTTAATTTTGAAATAATTTTAGACTTGCAAAAAGTTTCAAAAATAGCAAAGTTTGTTCCAATATCATTTTCCCTCACCTTTCCTTAATGTTAAACATCTTACATCTTACATAACCATTGTATATAATCAAACCCAGAAAATTAACATTGACACAATGGCATTAAGTATATGGATGGATTTCACTGTTTTTTCTACTGATGCCTTTTTTAAGTTCCAGAATCAAATCCAGGATTCCATATTGCATTTAATTTTCATGTCTCCTTAATCTCCTCTGCTCTGTGACAGTTCTTTATTCTTTCTCTGTCTCTCATGGCCTTGATACTTGGAAAGTACACTGATTAATAACTTTTAAGAAAGTGTTTCTGATCTTTTCTATTGATTAGAATCCGATTATACATTTTTGACCAGAATATCACAGAAGAAATGGTCCTTCTCAGTGCACCATATTAGGAAGTGCATAATATCAATTTTTCTTCTTACTAGTGATGGTGGAAGAATGTGATCAATGAAATCCTTTCTGTAAGGAGGTCTTAGACAAAAAGAACCCAGGCAGCTGCTTCTGTTACTCTTCCTATATGGTCATATGTCCACTTTGTTAGAAATCATCTATTCCTGTCTGAGCCCATAATGACCTTTTTCCCAAGAATTTAGAATTTAGTTATTTTAAAAGTCTGCTGTCCAACCAAGAATATTGAAGGGATAAATTATGTTTATTTTTATGTGACAAATGATTCTGTGAGGACCATTTACATGGGAATGTTGATAGCCTGGACAAAGAGGAAGAGAAATTGGATTATTAAGACATGGAAGTAAACCCCAAAGAATTGGAGAAAATCTTTGCAAACTATTCAACTGACAAGGAATTAATAACCAGAATATATATGGAACTCAAAGAACTCAATAGCAAAAATATAAATAATCCAATTTTAAAAATGGGCAAAACATCTGAATAGACATTTCTAAAAACAAAATATATAAATGGCCAGTGGGTATATTAAAAAATGTTCAACAGCAGTAATCATCAGAGAAATGCAAATCCAAACCACAATGAGATATCACCTCACCCTAGTTAAAATGGCTATTATCAAAAAGACAAAAATAATAAATGGTGGTGAGGATGCAGAGAAAGAAGAACATGTGTATCTTATTGGTTGGACTGTAAATAGGTACAGCCACTATGGAAAACAGTACTGAGATTCCTCAAAAAACTAAAAATATAATTACCATATAATTCAGCAATCCCACAGCTGGATATTTATCCAAAAGAAAGGAAATCAGAATATGGAAAAGATATCTGCACTCCCATGTTTATTGCAGCACTATTCACAATAGCCAAGATATGGAATCAACCTCAATGTTCAGCGAGGGATGAAGGGATAAAGAAAATGTGGTATACATAAACAATGAAATATTATTCCACCATAAAAAATAAAATCCTGTCATTTGCCGCAACATGGGTAGAACTGAATGCCATTATGCTAAGTGAGAAATGCTAGACACAGAAAGACAAATGTTGTGTGTTCTCACTCACATGTACAAGCTTAAAAAATTGATCTCATGGAGATAGTAAATAGAATGGTGACTATCAGAGGCTGGGAAGGGTAGTGGGGGACATAAGGAGGGGTTGCTTAATGGATACAAAAATATTCTCCAGGGATTAGGGGGATGGGAGGGTAAATCCACAACTAAAGGACACGGGGAGCACTGTAGGGGGGAAGGGCATGCCTTTAACCCACACTTGGGTGAGGCAAAGACATAAAGTGTAACCATAATGTTTGTACCCTCACAATACCCTGAAATAAAAAAAAAATACAGTCAGATAGAAGAAACAGATCTAGTACAATAGGGCAAATATAGTTAAGAATAATTAATTGCATATTTCAAAATACCTAAAAAAGTCCTGTTTCCAACACAAAATAAGGATAAATGTTTGGGGTGATTGATAACCCAATTACTTATATATGATCATTACATATTCTATTCTTGTATCAAAATATCACATGTAATCCATAAATATGTACAACTATTGTGTATCCATAAAAATAAATATAGTGCCTTTGCACCTATATGTATATTATAAACACATATGCACATTTGCATAAGTGATGTAAATTTTGATCTTTTTACTCAAATATTCAGTTTTAATTTCTTAATGTCTTTATAAATGGATTACTAAATATATTAAGGCCATATTTTAATTAAATATATTTATCTATATGGGTACATATGAAAATATTATGTTGGTCAGCATTTGCCCATTAGTGATTTATGACCAGCCACTCAAAACTCAGTGGCTTATAACACTAAGCATGTATCTTCATGTTCATGGATTTCACGTTAATAATTTGGCTGATGCAGGCCAGGCTCAGCCGGGTGGCTCTGCTGCAGGCCACTGAGCTTATCTCCAGTCTATGAATTGTGTTTGATCTGGTGCCAAGGCTGAAGGCAGTGAGTACTCAGGGCACACTTTCATGGTAAGTACAGGAGTCTACGAAATCTGCAAACCAAGCTGCACAGGTGAATATTTGATCATGCTATTGACAAATAATAATGTTTTTCATCCTTCATAAACTTAAAAATGCTTTGAAATTTAATTTTTCATTAATTAGAAGGTAAAGATGGGTGTATTTTTTCAACATGTGACTTTACATGGAAATTTTCTTAAAGGGTCTCATTGGCGGGAAAAATCTCTTTACCTGAACTAAATTTCTCCTAAAATGTAGCTTCCTGAACCTTATATAGATCATCTGTTACCTTCCTAAAATGTAGACCATAATTCAGTTTATCTAAGGTGGTTCTGCGATTTTGCATTTGTGACATGCTATCAGTGATGCTCATGACACTGTTGAATTCTGGAAAAATTTTGAGTCGGGAGAAAAATAATGCTACATCCATGTTGAGTTGTTTTTGTTTTTATTTTTGTCAAGAAAGATTTTTCATTTATCAAATGATAGTTATATATTTCATACCATTTCCTCATTTTTCTGTTGACTCTATGACTTAATCAAGTTTTCTTGCTAGGATCCCAACTTGCTGATAATATCTGGAAACACATTCAAATGTATTTTGAGGCCATTCTCTAAGTGGAATAACTCTGAGGGTTGGGGAAATGGTGACCATACTGGGCTGTCTGCCATTAACTCACCATCACTTCTAAAAGTACCTTCCCTAGAAGCTCTTTTTACATTCTGTTTTCCTGTAGAGTTGCTCAATGAAGAATCCTCCCATGAGATTTGGAAGTTAGAAGATGATTCAATACTATCCATTAGCACCTGCAGACAGACCCATGGACTGAGGTAAGGACTGCAGACTCACCTGGTGAGGTGCTGCAGGCAGCTGAGACCATCACCATCCCCACCCTTGGGCTTCCTAGGCAGGTCTGAGGATCCCGTGGTCATGCACCTTCAGAGGCAGATGCACTCTGGCTTCTGGAGGAGCACCAGGGAACCCCATCATTTCTAGCATCCACATCTCTAAACATCATATCCTCTGGCCTTTGAAATATTGTAGTTTAGACTCTAATTTCTTATATTCCTACTTGGAATACCTAGAGTAGCTTTTCCTTTGATGTATTAACTCCAACTGGTCCTGTAACCCAGACTCCTCAGGTGTAATCAGCTCTGTCTTTTCATAAATCAGGACAGTCTTTACCATGTCTGTGCTGCTGGGGCTGAGGAAGAGGAAAGAGACTTAGGGAGCAGAGGAGGCTCTTGGCCCCTTTTACCAAAACCTCCCAGTGACATTCAGAACATGGCTGCCTCTGAAAAATGCTCTCAGGAGATGGAGGCACCAGGAGGAGCAGCTGGGGCAGCCCAGCCTCACATGTCTCCTTCCCTGGGGGGTTTCTGTTAGGGCTTGTAACACTGTGGGAGGGTAATTATAAGATTGTAGACAGTAGTAAGTTGCAAAATCTTCAGGCTGCAGGCTGCTGATGGTGAGGGTGAAATCTGTCCCAGACCCACTGCCACTGAACCTTGATGGGACCCCAGTTTCCAAATTAGATGCCCCATAGATCAGAATCTTAGGGGATTGCCCTGGTTTCTGCTGATACCAGCTTAAATAATTGCTAATGCCCTGACTGGCCTGGCAAGTGATGGTGACTGTGTCTCCTAGAGATGCAGCCAGGGAAGATGGAGACTGGGTCATCTGTATGTCACATCTGGCACCTGAGATTGGAAACATAAAAACAAACATCCACATAATTAGTCATGTTATGAAAGAACTTCCCTGAAGAGCCAGGCAGTAATGACCACCCTGGCTGAGTAAATTCTTGGTGTTCTCCCTCCTTACCTGGGAGCCAGAGCAGCAGAAGCCCCAGGAGTTGAGTGGGGGCCCTCATGTCCATGCTGTGTCCTGATGGGGACTGACTCCTGCACAGAATGTGACCAACCTGTTAATAAGTCTGCAGGGCAGGGGGCTGTGCACTGAGAACATGCAAATCAGCCGGGGATGGGCAGGCTGGGCACAGCTGCAGGGCTGGCTTATTTCAGTGACTCAGGACAGACCCAGTGTCTTCAGGTGTCCCAGGTCAGACCAGATCAGCACATATTTGCCTGCAGAGAACTTATTTCTCCCTAGGGTCTACAGGACATATTAATAATATGTCTAGTATTCTGTGAAGAGCATGTTATTTTCATCTCTTCAAAGTTTAAGACATGCTTTTCCTGTTACCTTTCAATTTTTGATGGGTTGTTGGTGATGGCACAACCCCAGAAACTGCAAGATAGTTTACAAGCTCCTTGCATTTAGTACCAGTGAATATTATTGAGCCTAGAGAGGCTTCCTATTTTCCCTGATTCCCTGATGCCATTGGTGTGATAAGTTATCAGCACTACCATCCAGAGATGCCATGATGTAGGAGAGCAAGAAAAACCATAGGGAGTCATGATTTGTAAGAGAGGGCAGGTGTGTCATCATTAACTTGTCATCTCCAGCTAAGTGATCTCTCTTTCTCCATCTTTGAATGCTCTGCCCCACTCCTTCAATCAGGTCAGCCAAGGTCAAGGACTTTCCCCCTCCCCACCTGAATAGCATCAGCTGCCTTCCTAGCTCTGCTTGTTCCTGCACATATCCATGCTAGGTGTCCCTGAGTGCCTTAGATTGTCACTTGTGCTTCCCATCCCCTCAACCCAAGCCACTCCCTTCAGAAGTGGAGGTGCTCTGCAGAGCCAGCATTCATGTGTACCCTCAAACCTACCATGGTCCTTAAACCTGTATATTCCACCATCACTAAATATCTTCCAGTTTCTGAGACAAGGCAATTCGCAATGGCTGGGTTTAGGATAGTGGGGCCCAAGCAGGATAAGGGGAGAAATTGGCAGTAAATGAAGGTGGAAGTCCTTCCTGGAGTGTTGGAGCTACATGGGGGAGGAGGGCATCCCCACACAGCAGAGGTAGTGCTGCTCACCCCGTTGGGGTGTCCCAGAGGGTTGGATGAGCAGGACATTCACATGGATAGGGGCCCCCAGTGCAGGAGTTAGAGTCCAGGCAGGGTGAGGAGGACACCCATGGAGATATGGCCATGAAAGGGGCATCAGAGCTGGATGGACATGCTTGAAGCTCCGACTCAGGTGGGACAAAGGCAATATACATAACCTAAACATTTGTACCACCATAATGTGCTGACATAAACAAACAAACAAACAAAAAAAGATGTAAATTGTTGGAATGTATTTAAAAAATAGAATTCAATAATATGCTACTTAAAAGAAACCCACCTAATAGGTAATGACATTTATTGATTCAAGGTAAAGTGGTGGAAAAAATATATTCCACCCAAACAGAAACCAAAAGTGAGCAGGAGTAGCTATGTTGATAACAGATAAATAGACGTTAAATAAATGACAGAAAAAAAAAGAAGACAAAGAAGGTCATTATATAATGATAAAGGAATCAATTCAACAAGAAGATATAAAAATCCTAAATATATATGCACCTTACACCACAGCACCTAGATTCATAAAACAAATACTACTAAACCTAAGAAAAGAGATAGATGACAATACAATAACAGTGGGGGACTTCACCACCCCACTGATAGCACTAGATAGATCACTAAGGCAGAAAATCAGCATAGATACACTGGACTTAAATTGGACTCTAGATCAAATGGACCTAATAGACATTTACAGAGTATTCTACTCAGTAACCACAGAATATAAATTCTCATCGGTTTATGGAACATTCTCCAAAATAGACCACATTTTAGGCCACAAAACAAGTCTTAATAAAATTTTAATAATCAAAATATCAAGTATCTTCTGGGACTACAGTCAAATAAAACTAGAAATCAATACTAAAAGGAATTCTCAAAAGTATACAAACAACCTACTCCTGGATGATCTTTGGGTCACTGCTGAAAGTAAGATGAAGATTAAAAATTTTTTTGAAATTAGTGAAAATAGAAACACAACATACCAAAACCTCTAGGATACAGTGGAAAGAGTACTAAGAGGGAAGTTTACAGTGCTGAGTGCCAAAATAAAAAAGAGAGAAAGGTCACAAATTAACAACCTAACATCACACCACAAAGAATTAGAAAAGAAAAAGAGAACCCAAGTCCAAAACCAGTAGAAGAAAAGAAATAACAAAGATCAGAGAAGACCTAAATAAAATTGAGATAGAAAAATATAAGAATCAATGAAATGAAAATGAAATGAAATGAACTGGAAGTTGTTTCCTCAAAAAATAATCAAAATTGATAGACCTTTAGCTAGATTAACCAAGAAAAAAGATAAAATCCAAGTAAACACAATCAGAAATCAAAAAGGAGTCATTATAACTGATATCACAGAAGTAAAAAAGATCATCAGAGAGTACTAGAAACATCTCTACATGTACAAACTAGAAAATCTATAGGATATGGATAAATTCTTGGAAACAAAACCTCCCAAGATTAAACCAGGAGTAAATAGAAATCCTGAAAAGACCAATAATGAGTACTGAGAATGACTCAGTAATAAAAAAAAATCTCCTAACAACGACAAAAAAGCCTAGAACAAAATTGATTCACATCCAAATTCTAACAGATAATACAAAGATAACTGGTACCAATCCTGTGGAAACTATTGCAAAACATTGAGAAGGAGGAAATCCTCCCTAACTCATTCTACAAAGTCAATATCACCCCGATATCAATGCCAGGCAAGGACACAACTATAAAACAGAAAATACAAGCCAATATCCCTGATAAGCTTAATGCAAAAATCCTCAGCAAAATCCTAGCAAACAGAATACAACAGCACATCAAAAAAGATAATACACCACAACCAAGTGGGTTTTATTCCAGGGATACTAAGAAGGTTCAGTATACAAAATCAATAAATGTGATATGCCACATAAACAGAGTTAAGAACAAAAACCATATAATTGTCTCAATAGATGCAGAAAAATCATTCAATAAAACTAAGTATCTCTTCATGATAAAAACCCCAACAAAATAGGCATAGAAAAAAAACTACCTCAAAATAATAAAAGCCATATATGGCATATCCACAGCCAATGTCATACTGACTGGGGAAAATTTGAAAGCATTCATCCTAAGAACCAGGGTACAATGTACACTATTCTGGTGATAAGTAATAAAACCCCAGATTTCACCACTATGCAATATATCAATGTAAAAAAACAGGACTTGTACCCCCTAAATCTATCAAAATAAATAAATAGAAATAGAAATAAAAAAGAAATAAAAAAATTGTAGATTTATGTAGGCTTAACGAAAATTTAAATATGCATACATAATTCTCTTCATGATTAACTTTAAAGGAAAATGTAAAACAAAGAAAATATAAACTATATTGAGATATAAATGATACACACAAAAAAGTATGTGTTAAACAAAATCCTAAAATCAAGGTAGTGGTAATCATACTAACATATCAGAATTTCACACTGTTTGTGAGGGCCTGAATAAAACCTGTATTCCCGTCTCAAGGGAAGATGATCCACCTTCGGTCAGGGGGACTGAAGCTTGCATGTTCTTTGAACAAAAGCTCCCCCCATCAGACTGACCTCCAGCCAGGTGTTCAGATGGGGTCAATCTCTCCTTAGTCTCCCGATGAAAAAATACTGTCAAGCGGCAGAACGGTAGATGGAAAATACAATGAAAATTCATTAAACTCAATCTCTGAAGGACATCAAACATATCCCACATGACATGGCAAGGATATTGAGGGCTTCCACTCTGACCTTGGATTCCCAGCCTTGTTCCATGTCCATGGGTCTGGGACAGATTTCCCTCTTACCATCAACACCATGGAGGCTGAGGATGCTGGACATACTCCTGTCAGCAGGGGGATGTGTTTCCTCTGACAGTGACACAGACTACAGATCTGAAAATGACTTCTCTATGCCACTACCTGTGTTTTCCTTGAGGCTACAGCTGCTAGTATGAGAAATATGTTTTCTTTGTATTTTGATCCTTCATTTATTTTTTTCTTTGTTTTGGCTAGGATTCACTTACAGTGGTTATCTATTAATAAAATGTACTTTGTAATATTATGTGAGATACGTGGGGATTGATTCAATGAGGGATAAAAATAAATCTGCTTTCTCAAGGTTCTTCTACTTTATGTGAGGAGTTAGGACAACCAACAAAAAAGGTAATTAGTAAAAGGAGTAAATATTAGTGTCCCAGGCATTTCATATTAGGTGTTCTGATCCAGAAGTTTAGAATATGAAGATCATAAAAACACAAACACTTGGCATAAACACTAGAAGTTCCTTCTCAAATTTTTGTTCCTCCTACAGGATGTTCTCTTTTCTCATTATTCAGCTCCCCATTGTAATTTTGATTTGTTTTCCCTAGCTAGGGTCTTGAGCCAATTCTTCCTTATGTGACCCAGCTTTGCCATCTGGATCTGGTTCTCACCCTGTTCCTTCCTCTCAGTAACTGGGAGTGAGTTGGCATTCACCAGGCAGAAATTACAGATCCTAACTTGTAAAGAGTGGGACAAATTAAAAGAGTAACTAATAAGAATCTTTCAGCTACTCTGATTTATTTTTTTACATCCTGATATATTCTAGCTGCTCTTAACATTCATTCTCTAAAATATTCTCTCTTCTTATTACACAGGTCAATGTTCCAGCCAGTTTGGAAAAGTTTGCCAGCTCAAAAAATGGTAAATATACATAGAGTTACCATATAATCCAGGCAAACAACATTCAGTCTCGAGACTGCAAAGAACAGTCTTCTTTGATGCCATGTCTGGCTTTGTAGACACCCTGGGGCAAAGGTTAAACCTGCAAGACTCCAGACAACCCCTCCACAGCTTTGCTGAGTGTAGCTCACACAGCAGATCTCACGCATTGGAGTCACAAGCCTGCAACTCTCCTGGCAGAAGTTGCATGCTGGTGGCCCTACCATCCCCAGGTA